GCCTTTATTAGACAAGAATGGGACAACATTCCTATTCCTAAACTTGAGCAACTTGTCTCCTCAGTCCCCAGACGTTTGCAGACTGTTATTAAAAGAAGAGGGGATGCCACACAGTGGTAAAAATGGCCTTGTCCCAACTTTTTTGAGATGTGTTGATGCCATGAAATTTAAAATGAACTTATTTTTCCCTTAAAATTATGCATTTTCTCAGTTTAAACATTTGATATGTCATTTATGTTGTATTCTAAATATAATATTGAAATTTGAAACTTCCACATCATTGCATTCTGTTTTTATTCACAATTTGTACAGTGTCCCAACTTTTATGGAATTGGGTTTGTATATATATATATATATATATATATATGGATTTAATATCCCTTGTTAATAATATTGAACGTGTCCTGTTTTAATACATTTTATTAGGTTTAACAATATTAGAATTATCATCATAAGAAGTAGTAGTATAGACAATTAAATGTTTTAATAAATTATGTAAAAGGAAGGGATTTATCTCTAGATGGGATGATGTCACCTAGTTAAGAAATCCTGTCTCTTGTTGTCTTTCAGACTGATCAGGGCATTAAGAATTTGACCGTTGAAGAGGCGGATCGACTTGCATCCACTGACCCAGATTACTCCATCAGAGATCTGTACAACGCCATCTCCAACGGCAACTTCCCATCCTGGACCTTCTACATCCAGGTCATGACCTTTGAGCAGGCGGAGAACTGGAAGTGGAATCCCTTTGATTTGACTAAGGTACTTTCATCCCAGAATGCACCAGTGTCTCAACCTTACTCTTGTCCAAGACAAATTCAAATTCATAGGCCCTCCTATTTAGACAACACAGATCTGTGGATTAATTTGGTCTCATTTAGATACTAACGTGTCCATCCTGTTGCCTGGATCTTTATCTCTCAGGTCTGGTCCCATAAGGAATTCCCTCTGATACCTGTGGGACGGCTTGTGTTGAACCGAAACCCTCTGAACTATTTCGCTGAGGTTGAGCAGCTGGCGTTCGATCCCAGTAACATGCCGCCCGGCATTGAGGCCAGCCCGGACAAGATGCTGCAGGTACATATTTACTGCTGTGTCACAAGCAACATACCTAGACACATTTCACAGGTTTGTTTGCACAGGCTTATGATGCACAAAAAGATGCTTGTTCACTATTTTGTTCTTGAGCAAGGCACTTAAGCTCTGATTCCTCGTAATAAGCGCCCTGTAGATTACTTTGGATTAAAGCATCAATGACTAATTACAAGAATCACTAGAATGACTAAATGCTGTAATTGCTCAATTCTTTCGCCACAGGGGCGTCTTTTCTCGTATCCAGACACACATCGGCATCGGCTCGGAGCTAATTACCTCCAATTGCCCGTCAACTGCCCCTACCGCACCCGTGTGGCAAACTACCAGAGAGACGGCCCCATGTGCTTGTACGACAACCAGGGTGAGTTGGATGCATAGCAGAAAACTTCTTGTGTCATACTGGGTTTGGTTTTGGGTAAGAGAGGGTATTAGTCTCTCAAAAGTGACTCAGGTTAACAACGCAACATCTGTCTGGAATGGTGGAATAGGCAGGGTTCCCACGGGTCATTGAAAGTTTGTGAATTTTATTTATATTGTATGTGTGATATATGTGGAAATCTGTTGTCTAAGCTACTGGATGCCTTGAATTTCCCTTGGGATGAATAAAATCAATCAATTGAATCTGATTTTTTTTTTTTTTTCCAAGGCCCTGGAAAGTTCTTGAAAATAAACATGCATAGATACAGGTCCTTGAAAGTGTTTGATTTTTATTTTGTGCAACAAGTTTTCTGGAAAAAAAATCCATATTCTCTCCGGTCCGCTAATGTGTTATTTTGCCAACACTTCGTGGCCTATGCAGTGCACACTACCTTGCTTGATTTACGTTAGTTACACGCATTTACACCAATGGTTAAGTTTCCCGTTACCAATGTTTCCTTTGTATGTTGCCATGACTTTCACATGCGCACAAAACTACTACGATTGATGGTACCTTAACATTTCACAGACACACCGTAAAAATTGCAAAAATAGGCTGAAACAGCTGAAATGTGATGCTTGGAAAACGCAAATTTCAAGATTTTTGGCTCACCAAAGAAGATTACAAAGAATTATTATTATTATTTTTTTTGTCCCTTATTTAAATGTAAAATGATGCGTTCCGTATCAAATCAATCCAGGATGCGATTTGTCCATAGACGGAGGATTTGTCCCGTAACTTGCATAGACCCCCAACGTTCATTTGGTGGTTAATGCATGTTTGCATCTTTTTTTTTTCCCATAGTGACAAAGTCTAGAGAACATGTGCTGTAAACGGGCGTAATGTGCTTTTTTTTTTTTTTTTTATAAATGATCGTAACTGTCATACACAATTTATGGCATGCATTTAAAAAAGGTTTAAAATGCTAAATTATTTAAATAAAAATGGTCATAATTATGTAGTCATAATTTAAGGAGTAAATATGGTAAATGGACTGCATTTATATAGTGCTTTCATAGACCTAATGGCCACCAAAGCGCTTTACATATTGCCTCACATTCACATACATTCATATACCGACGGCGGTGTCAGTCATGCAAGGTGCCACCCAGCTCGTCGGGAGCAGCTGGGGTTAGGTGTCTTGCTCACGGACACCTCAACACTTGATTAGGTGGAACCAACCTTTCGGTTTGTAGACAACCTACATGAACCACTGAGCCACTGCCGCCCCTTATATAAGTACTTGGGGCACGCCAACATATACTGAAGAGTTATGTAGAAATAAATAAAAGTCAAATGTAAAATAATGTGTTCTGTTGCAAGTTCACATACTTGATCTCATGTTTTATTATTGAGCTGTCAAGTTGACATAATCAGTCCCAGGACCTTATTTTATATAATATTTTATTTGATTATTATCATTATTTTTTTTTAATAGGATTAGCTGTACCGAATATTATTCGGTTTTATGCAAAACATAAATACGACAAATGGAATATCAGATCTCTGTCATATGGTCAAAAATAAAGGCAAAAAAGCTTTTTTTTTGCCTAGTTGTTTGACCGATGAAAACTGTAACAATGTATCTTACATACACGATGTAACCTTGCTCTCTCACTTGAAATGTGTCCCCACATTAAGTCCTTCAATTTGAGGGTATTGGGCCTGGAAAGTCCTTGAA